GTGCGCCGGCTCCAGCATGTGAGCGCATCAAGCCTGCACCCTCTGCACAATGTAGTGTGCAAGATCTGTCGGAAGTGCACAAACCTCCTCTGCTACCTGGCGGGACAGATCCTGTGTCCACTCAACCACCCGCGACATATGCAGCCCTCCGCGGTCCAACCTGCGCAGCTGGTTGTACACAGGCTCCATGATACAGAACAAGATGCCCATAGAATCCCACCAACTGCCATGTCGCACCTGCCACCTGACCCACCTAGCCAAATGACGAACGGAATGGTCCCAAGGGACCATACCCCAAGTATTGTCATTCACTGTCCTCTCCAAAGCTGACCTCACTGCCAGCAAATGCTCCACCAAAGCGAACACGGATGCGAAACATGTCTCGCAAGCATAGATGAGGCCCATCTGACCGCTCTCCCCCCGGAAGATATGGAGAGCGGCGCCGTGCTCCTTAATGAAGCGCACCACCGCTCTCCCCCTCATGATGATGTCCTTGGACCACGGGCCCGAACAGCCAATGTCTGACAACATCTTGTTGCAGACATGCACTTCACATGGGAGCCACGCGATCCGTCGATGCTCTGGCCTCTGCTGGGGCCCCTGGAGCATGTTCGCCGAGGCGACGTACGCCGAGGCGGAGTCGGTGCAGATGACGTTCACCCACTTAGGGGAGAATTCATCGAACACCTTGATCCAGCGAGCCAACACATGAGGCGCCCGATCCCGCTCACCCTCCCTGTTCATCGTCCGGACGAGCATCACCCCACGTGACCCGGCGGCAAGGAAGTTAACGATGGGTCTAGCATCGCATGACTTCCTTCCGTCTGACATAATGGTGGCCCCCGTGACATAGAAAGGAGCCCTGACCTCCGCGAGATCAGCTCCCACATCGTCCGCCGTGTGGACAATGGTCTCTATGTCCGCGATCTCATTCTCTGAAGGCCACAACACCTTCACTGGCTCCGGAAAATCCCTGAAGTGCCGGACGACGTCCAACCACGGCTCGCTCCGGAAGACGTTGAACGCAAGGCGCTAACTGTACACAAAACGCAACCACTTCTTCTTGATTTCCATCTGCCACTTTGAAGTGAATGACTTTGTGATCGTGTTCTGTCTCATCCTCTTCTGTGCTGTCGTCGGTCTGGCCCCCTCCTCTCTCTCCTTCCTCTTCCCCGCAGACGGACCTGCCTCAGCCGTATCCGCACCTGCCCGTGTACAAACAGACACGTGCGCCGACGCAAAGTACTGGCCCTGCTGCCCCCCCGGCTCGCTGACAACGCCCTTCCCTCGCTCCCTCCCTGACGACCCCGCCCGTGCAACCTCCTCGACCTCGTCATCCACGTCGATCTGCTCCTCCGCGTCCCTCATCTCTCCCTCCCCCCCCTCGTCCCGTCGCGGATCCGTCGCAGGCGCCGCACCGTGAAGCTCCTCAAATTGCTGGATCCGCTCTAGGAACTTGTCAGACATCTTGTACTCACTGTTGTAGTGGATGTCGACAAGTGCCTCGTCGGTCACTTCCGGACATCCCTTGCCCCGGCGGAAACGGCGCGCCGCCACGAACTGGTTGCCCTGGAACTCGTGGCCGCAGAAAACGTACTTCAACATGCGATTGCCGTGGAATCTCTTGCCGAGACTCTGTCCCACGCGGATATACTTGTACACGCAACACTTCTTTTGCGCCTTCCGATTCTCGTCCTCCCCCCCATCCTCAAACACCCAAGACTGACTTCGCGACATCGTGCCCGCTCGCCGATGGGTTCACCGAAGCGGTCCGCCCTCAGCCTGTCCCACGAAGCTCCAACTCCCGTCGGCGTCCCTCCCCGCACCAGGCCTCGTCGGGCCAACCCCTATCTGCCTCTATCGTGTCGGCCACGCACCCCCCACGGCCTCGAAACCCCCACTGCGTCGACAACAGGGCGCGGGCCGCGCAAAGAACCCCTCCCCTAGGCGGCGTTCAAAACAATTGAACGTGCATTCAACTATTTGAACGCGCGTTCAAAGAATTGAATGCGCATTCAAAAAAATTGAACGCGCGTTCAATTTTTAGTTCCACTGCGCGCCGTCGTCGTCTTCGTCGCCGAACTCCCTCGTTGGGGCCGCCGTCCATTGCCGCGCTGAGCCGTCGCTGTCCCCGCGCGCCTCCGCCTCCTCAAGTTCATCGTCTCTCTCTCTCTCTCTCTCTCTCTCTCTCTCTCTCTC